TGCAATTATAAACCTTCCAACAAAGAAAAGCCCAGGTCCTGATGGATTCACTGCTGAATTCTACAAGAAATTTAGAGAAGCTCTGACACCACTACTTCTCAGATTCTTTAATGAAAATGAAAAAGAAGCAACACTCCCAAATTCATTCCTGAAAGGAAGCAATATTCTGATACCAAAACCACAGAAGTATACAACCAAAAAAGAACTACAGGCCAATTTCCCTAATGAACCTAGACACAAAAATTCTCAATAAGACACTGGCAAACAGAATCCAGCAAATCATCAAGATTATACACCATGACTAAAAAGGACTCATCCCAAGGATGCATAGATGGTTCAACATATGCAAATCAATAAATATAATATACCATATTAATGGAGCCAAAGACAAAAACCACATGGTCCTCTCAATAGATACAGAAAAAGCATTTGACAAAGTCCACAGCCATTCATGATTTTTTTTTTTTGTACCAGAGATCGAACTCGGGTCCTTGTGCTTGTGAGTCTTCCGACAGAATCACTGAGCTAAATCCCCGGCCCCATTCATGATTTAAAAAAAGAAAAAACTTCCAGAAAATTGGAATAGATGGTGTGTTAGTTACTTTTCTCTCATTACTGAGACAAAATACTCGACACCCAAAATTAAAGGAGGGAAGGTTTATTTAGCTCACAGTTTATAGAGGTTTCGGTCCATAACTGGCTGGCTCTAAGGCAGAGCGGCAGATGGCAGAGGGGTGTTGCAGAAGAGAAACAGTTCATGGTGCCCAGATGGTAGCAAGAGCAACAAGGGAACCTTAACAACATCTTTCTGCTCCTTTTATCTTACCCAGACTACCGAGTCTAGGGTGGTGCCAAACCAATCAGTGTACTTGTTTAGTAATCAAATGCCCTTAATCCTAGCATCACACACTCTAGATTCAGCCACCTCTGAAAAATTCACCTATGACTGCTTGAGGCTTTGAGGGGACATCTAGATCTAGATCCAAACCATAATAGATGGTCCTTATCTCAGTCTGATAAAAGCCATCTAGGACAAACCAACAGCCATCATTATACTAAATGGTCAAAAACTAAATGCTTGCTGGGCGTGCTAGCACACACCAGAGGCTGGGGCAGGAGGATCACCATGAGTTCAAGGCCAGCCTGGGCTACATAGTGAGTTCAGGACCAGCCTGAACTACAAAGGGAGACCCTGTCTCAAACAAACAAAAAAGACAACTAAAAGCTTTCACTCTAAAGTCAGGAACAAGACAAGGATGTCCTCTGTCACCATTTATTCACTATAGTTCTGGAAACATTAGCCAGAGCAATTAGACAAGAGAAATAAATAAAAGGAATAAGAATAAGAAAGGAAGAAGTTAAATTACCATTATTTGTGGAGAAATGATACTCTACATAGAAGACCCCAAAAACTTCACCAAAAGACTTCTATATTTAACAACCAAATTCAGTAGCATAGCTGGATATAAAGTCAACACTTAAAAATCAAGAGCACTCCTGTAATCAAGTAACAAACTCACCTCTGAGAGAGAATTCAGGAAAACAACACCTTTCACAATACCATCCCCCAAAAAGGAAAAACCTAGAAATTAACCTAATGAAGGAAGTAAAAGACCTTTATGCTGAAAACTACAGTGCTCTGAAAAAGGATATGAGAAAGTGGAAAGATATCCCTTGTTCTTGGATAGGAAGAACCAATATAGTGAAAATGGCCCTACTTCCAAAATTGTTATACAGATTTAATGCAATCCCAATCAAAATACCATAATAAGCATACTTCACAGAACTAGAAAAAACAATCTTAAAATTCATTTGGAATCAGAAGAGACCCAGAATAGCAAAAGCAATTCTGAGCAACAAAGGCAAGACACGGGCATCACAGTTCCTGACTTGAAATTATACTACAGAGCTACTGTGATAAAAACAGCATGGTACTGCCCCCCCCCCAAAAAAACCAACACCACCACCAACAACAAAACCAGACCCAAGGCTCAATGGAACTGATTAGAACTCCAGACACACTCAGCCATATATCTTCGACAAAGGAGCCAAACAACACCTCCTTGGAAGAAAGCCTCTTTAATAAATGGTGCTGGGAAAACTGGCTTTCCACATGCCAAAGATTAAAACTGGGCCTGTATCTTTCACTGTGCACTAAACTAAAATCAAAATGGATCAAAGATCTAAATATTAAAACAGAAATAGTAACTCTGCTGGAAGAGAGAATCTCAATCCAAAAATGGTCATCTGACATGAATAGACATGTCTCAGATGAAGAAGTAGAAACGGCAAATAAATATATGGAAAAATGTTCAATGTCACTGGTAATTCGAGAGATGCAAGTTAAAACAACACTAAGATTCCATCTCACTCCAGAAAGAACAGCTATCACCAAGAAATCAACCAATGGGCCAGGGATTTAGCTCAGTCATTCCACTGGCTGCCTCGCAAGCACAAGGACCCGAGTTCGATCCCCGGTACCAAAACCCAAAAAAATCAAACAATAACAAATGCCGGCAGGGGTGTGAGGAAAGAAGAGCCCTTCTCACCAATGGTGGGAGTGGAGACTGGTGCAACCACTGTGGAAATCAGCATGGAGATTCCTCAAAAAACTAAAACCTAGACGTTCCATTTCACCCAACTATTCCCCTTCTGGGTATCTTCCCAAAAGAATTAAAAGCCTCAGGGCTGGGGATTTAGCTCAGAGGTTTTGCCACCTGCTGTGCATGCACAAGGACTCAAGTTTGATCCCTGGTACCAAAAAAAAAAAAAAAAAAGAATTAAAAGCATCATACCACAGCAAAATGTGCATACCTATGTTTATAGTGGCACAGTTTGTAAAAGCTAAATCTTGGAAAGAGTCCAAATGTTCATCAACTGATGAATGGATAAAGAAGATGTGGGGTTTTTTTTTTTTTTGGTATTGGGGATCGAACTTGGGTCCTTGTGCTTGCGCAGCAGGTGGCAAAACCACTGAGCTAAATCCCCGGCCCCAAATGTGGGGGTTTTTTTAATACAAAGGAATACTACTCGGCCATAAAGAAGGGTGCACTTCAGAAATTTATAGCTAAATGGATGCACCTTGAGATCATACTAAACGAAATAAATTGGACACACATGTTTAAATACTGCATTGTTTCTCTGATATGTGAAACTGAAAGTATAAATAAGGACCAAAATGTATAATATTAGGAAATGGGAAGAAAATGTTCAAACTGGAAGGGGAACAAGGGAGGGGGTAGGAAGGGAAAGGAAAAAAAGAGAATAGAAGAAAAAAATGGAAACAAACCTTTTATAAGTAAGTAAAGGAGAAGGGTTGAAGGGAGGGGAGGGGAATGGGAAAAAAAGAAGCAAGATACATCATGTACAGGTATAAATTCTCTGTGATGAAAATTATCATTACGCATATCTAAAATGTACCAATAAAATAAACTTACTTCAGATATAATACCAATAGTTGGAAAGTAAAAGGATGAAAAATTCACAAAATAGAAACATCAATCAAAAGAAAGAAATAGGTAAATCCATAGAGACACCAAGTAGATTTATTTCCAGAGCCTCAATGGAACAGGAAACATCTGCTAATGGTTTATTGGGGGATTTTTAAAAAATGTTCTGAAATTAGCAGTGATAGTTGTTCTAATTTGTGATTATACTAAAAATCACTGAATTTGACTAGAGATGTAGCTAGCTCCTTGGTATATCACTCGCCTAGGATGTGTGAGGTTCTGGGTTCAACATCCAGTATTGCAGAAACAAAAACCCTACCACTGAGTTATAAACTCCTAAAGGGTGAATTTTATGGAATGTGAATTTTATCTCCAAATAATTATACTTCAATAAGGTTTATTTTTAAAAACAAAACCTCACCAATAAAACAAACCAATTAATACTGAGCTAAAGACATGAAGAGCTATTTCATCAAAGAGGATGTAGCAATGCCAAGCGTGCATGTATAAAGATATTCAATATCACTGGCCATTAGGGAAATGTAAATTAAGACCATGGTGAACGTCACTACATAACTATCAGAATGGCTTCAATAAAAATAACAATTATACCAAATAGTGGTAAAAATGCAGAGAAACTATGTCTCTGACATTGCTGATAATTAAAATAGTACAGCTACTTTGAAAAATAGTCTGACAGTTTCTTCACTAAAGCTGTAATATAATAATTGTGCTCCTCAGAATAATCCCCCCAAAATGAAATATCATGCATATAATAATTAACAGTAATGTATTTGTAATAGCCCAAAACTAAAAAAAACCAAAATCTACTACAATAGATGAAGTTAAATCAAACTGTAATACTCCATGGAATACTACTCCGAAATAAAAAATAACAATATTGACATAGCCAAGAACCTCAACAGATCTCAAGGCTATTATTTTGAGAGAGAGAAAAACCAACTGAAAAAGGTCATATACTGATTCTATTTATGTAGCATTCATTAAATAACAGAATTATAGAGCTAGAAAGCAGATGAAGTTAGGGAGAAATAAGGAAAGGAGGGGTGAGAGGTTTACACAGTAATGAAATAATTCTATATTGTGACTAAGGTGGTAATCACAGGAATCTACATGCGTGGTAAAATGACACAGAATTGCACAGACTTTATACCTATATCATTTCCTAAATTTTATATCATAACTATACGAAATGACTTAATGGGAGAAAATGGGTGAAGGGAACGCAAGACCTGTCAGTATTACCTTTACAACTTCCTCTGAACTGATAAATGTTTCAAAATAATTAGCAGTAACTACCTAAATAAAAATACTGCTTAAAAAACAAGTCTGTAAAAATTACTTAATTTTTCAGCAAATATTATTAGTACTCCTCAGTGTCAGGTTCTCTGACAGATATAGAAGACAATGACAATGCATGAGTTCAAAGACTTTCCAGTTTAGTGGTAGAAAGGCCAGACAATATAACACAGGTATAAGTAATACAATTCTATACTCTGCAGACTAAATTATGCTCAGCAAAACCAATACCTGGATCAAGCTGCTGTTCCCTGTTCATCTCCACAGCACATGGGCTATCTCCTCCCCACACAAAGGAAAGGCCTGATGGTCCAGCTACAATCTGAAGATGACTTGCAGATTTCAAGTGTCTGTCCAATGGGCATCCAAGGGTCCAAAAGAAAGTACTGAAAAATCAAAAAGAACACATAAACACCCTAAATCTCGTAAGTGTTTACTCATTCATAACACAAGCATTTGACTGTGTTCAGAGGTAAGATAAAACTGGCAGAAGAGATGGGATTGGGGAAAAAACAGACATCTTCTCTAATTGTGAAGAGGGGGAGGAGGCGAGGGGGGGAGGGGGAGGGAAGGAGGGGAGGGAAGGACAGGAGGGGCAGGAGAGGAGTAAGGCTCAGGGAGAAAGTCGGACAGCAAGTCCAAGAAATGGCTCAGAGCTCATCAAGACTTTGATAAGAAAATCTAAAGATCGTAGTCAATTAACATGTATATGAATCCTATACTTTAAACTTAGATTACCATACTTACTACCACATTCCTACTCACAAAAACATTTCCTTAGAGTTTTGAGGGTAGGGTACGGTGTTTCCTTTCAAAGCTCTGTCTTACCCAATAAATGAGATATCATATATTATGAACTTCATCTAATTTATCTTGTACTTTATCTCATTTCCCATTTCATTTCACTAGACTATTAGGCAGAAGCAAACTTTCAACTGTTATTCTAAAATTACAAAGAGAATGCCTCCAAAATAAGCTCTGAACCCAATTTTTGAAAACTGACTTTATTGGAGTATAATTCACATATCAAAACTTTCTGCTTCAGCTAGGCATAGTGATGCTTGCCTGTAGTCCCAGCACTCTGTGAGGCTGAGGCTGGACAACTGCAAGTTCAAGCTCAGCCTGGACAACTTAGCAACTCAGTGAGACACCATCTCAAAATAAAAAAAGGTTAGGGATGGATGTAGCTCTGTGTGAAGGTCCTCAGTTCAATTCCCAGTACCCCCCCCCCAAAAAAACCCACTTTAAATGTACACTCTAATAACTTATAGTAAATTTATAGTGTGTAACCATCATGGTAATCCAATTTTAGAATATGTCTGTCACTCTGAAAAGAAGCTTAATGGTCATGTATGGTTCCTCCACCTCCTCTTTCTAGGTCCGGGCCAGTAATCTACTTTCGGTCTCTAGAAGATTTTTGTCTTTCCTGGACACTTCACATAAATGGAATCATACAATATATGGCCTTTTGTGTCTGGTTTCTTTCACTTACCAAGTTTCTAAGGTTCATCCATATTGCATAATGGATGAATCTATTTATTCTTACTTTCTATACATGTAAAACAACCTAAGATATTACCTTTATATGTACCTAGCAGATTAGAAAGAAGAAATTTTTTTAAAGTAGTTGCTATAGGATGGCATGACGAACTGAATGCAAGGGCAACAACACAGAAAACTATGTAAGTGCCATAGGTACCTAACAACACAGCTTTAAGGGTGATATTCTGCAAGATCATCTCTCTCAAGAGCATTTTTGGGCCAGGGATTTAGCTCAGAGGCACTGCGCCTATCTTGCAAGCTCAAGGTCCTGAGTTTGATCCTTGGTTCCCCACCTAAAAAAAGCATTTTGAGTATATATGACAGCCCTTAGAAACTGATTCTCAAAAAACAATTTTAATCACTAAGAAAGAGTTACCTTAGCCTTTAATACTCCATATCCCTTCAAAATGTATCAGCTACCCGAAGTATAACAGCTTTAGGGCCAGGGATTTAGCTCAGTGGTTCCAGTGCCTGCCTTGCAAGTGCAAGGTCCTGAGTTCATCACAGTACCAAAGCAAAACAAAACAAAACAAAAACCCAAAACACAGCTTTAGATGGGAGAAAGGGATACCTAGATTCTTGTTTCAGCTTTACTACCTAACCTTATATAGTATTATACTATGTCAAATTTTTATCTGTAAAATGAGGTAAGGTCTTTTCAGATTTTAAATTTTCATTTCATAAAAAAGGATTTAATAACTTTTAAAAGTTACTTAAGTTCCAGTTACCCAAATAGTTATATACAAGCACTGAAACCCAGACATTCTCATAGGAACAACTGAACAAAAACTTGAGGGATATTTAAAGTCTCTAAATGTGCTCTCTCTCCTCAGTTTACTTTTCTATGCCAAGCCCCAAACATCTAAACAGTACCACTCCAACTACTAAGTCATTTACTTCCCATATATTTATCAACACCATGTACTATCTCAGGGGCTGGGATAAAGTAATCAAGAGGCACAGTTCCCGCTTTCAGAAAGTGTATTTTCAACTGGGGGCAGACAAATTAAGACAGCAATTTAAAACAGTTATTTAAAGTACTGTACTATGAAGGAAAAGTACTGGATGCTGAGAACATAAAGTTAGGATTAACCTGAACTAGGAGATCACTGAATGTCCCTGAGAAAACAACATTTAAGCTGAGTATATAAGGGAAATAGCAGTTAAGCAAAAAGAGTAAAAAGAGGATTACAGCACACACAGAGACTCAATGGTGTGAAAGACTGAGAGAAAAGCATTGTGGGTGAAGCATGGAAGCCAACAGAGTAAGTAACACATGAGACTTGGCAGCAGCTAATATTTACTAAGGACTATGTGATGGGCACTGATCTAGCACATAAACTTAACACCACCCAACTCCACAAGGTGAGCATAAGATCATGAGGTTCATCGGCACAAAACAATTACCTGAGCTAGCCAGTGTTCCACAACTGGTAAACAGCAAAACTAGGTTTTGAATCAAGCAAAATATCTATATTCCATGTCCTCAAATACCACACTCCCTCTCAATTAGAAGCAAGTAAAGGCAAAGAACAAATCTGTGTTTTCAGAAAGATCACTCTGGACCCAAACAGAAACCATAAAGGGGTGACAACATAGATGTTATGCATGGCCAAAATTAACCGTAAATAAAATTCAAAGACAAATGTGATAGGTGAAAATATCTGCAACATTTAAGAGGTAATGGGTTAGCTAGGCATGGTGGTACACACCTATGATGTCATTTACTTGGAAGGCTGAGGGAGGAGGATCACAAGTTCCAGGCCAGCCAGGACAACTTAGAGAGACTCTGTCTCAAAGTACAATAAAAAGGGCTGGGGGTCAGGTATGGTGGTGCACACCTATGATCCCAGCATTCAAGAGGCTGAGGGAAGATTGCCACAAGCTCAAGGCCAGCCTGGGCTACATAGTACATTTAAGACCAGCCTGAAATATACAATGAGACCTTGTCTCAAAGCGGGGAGGGGGACTGGAGATGTAGTTCAACGGTAAAGTACTTGCCCAGCAACAGTAAAGCCCTCTGTTCAATCTCCAGTATTGTGCAATAAAAATAAAATAAAGAGGAAGAGGGATAATAGGTTAATTGCCATACACAAGCACTTGCAAACCAATAAGAAAAAAGAGAAGGAGCAAAATATGCAATTAATCCACCTTGAAAAATAAGAATACTGTAATACTTATAAAATGTGAATAAACAGAATTGATATAATGCTTATAAATACATTCACTCTCATTAATGATGAGGAAAACACAAATTTTAATTATATACTATTGTTTTTACTTTTCAAATTGCTAAAACTTCTTTTTTTCTTTTGAGATGGGGATCTTGCTACGTAGTTCAAGTTGGCTTTGAACTCACTATGTAGGCTTAGCTGACCTCAAACTGGTGGCAATCCTTTTGCTTCAATTTCCTGGGTGCTGGGATTACAGGTGTGTGCCACCATGCCCAGCTTAGTAAAACTCTTATAACTGAAATATCTAATATTGACAAGGAAGGTGGAAGAATGGGAGGACTCTGGGACATGGATTGGTCCCAAATCTTTTACACAAAACACACATGTGGAAGGCTACATAATCAATGATGTTTGCCAAGTATTATCCAAAATAGTGAGAAACTGGAGACAACCTATATGCCCACCAAGCAGGAATGAGATGATCTACTGAGGTAGATCCATGAAAACATTTGGAAACACTGTCCATATTACTGAGTGAAAAAAGTGAGGAACGATATTATGTTAACTTTTTAAAACTCAATGTCCATTGTTTCCTTGTTTTTGTGACTTTTAACAAATGTATATGTGTCTACTGCATCATTTGTAAGAGAGAGATACTAGTACCATAACTACCTTATCTACTTCACAAGACAGCTAGGAAGATTAGTAATCCAAGAAGAACACTTAAGAAAGAGGTAGCTACTCAGTAAATGCTGAGTTAATGTTAACTGTTAAGCAATGCTAACAGGGTCAAGTTCCTACAGCACTGATTTAGTTGATCACCTCTCTATATAAAGTCTTAACACTTCCACATGGTTTTGATGGAATAAAGCCAGTGCTAACAAATATCTGCTGGTTCACATCAGTAGATGAAGATGTCATCTGCTTACGTTCATGAGCTCTTGTAATACACTGTTATGTTTTGTGCAGAGAGGCACAGAATGTAAAAATAATAACTACAATTAAAGAAGCTTCAAAATCAAAAGACATACTGTGGAAGAAATCCAAATCTTTTGTAGCTGAAAGCTAAGGTTGTGGCATTTTTTTCAGTCTTACATCATCACTTAGATTTCAGCCAATGAACAAACAGTTCATCATCTTAGTAGGGTCATGAGAAATAAACTGATGAAGGATTTTGCTGTACAACATCTGTTAGCTCTCTTTATTGCTAATCTGCTGTCTTTTTATGCTGTGAGGAAAAAATAGTAAAATATCCAAGAGCTTAATAATTAAAATTTAATTCACTTCTCATTTATTTCATTTACTTCCTATTCACATTGTTTTACTGACCTTGTCTATCTTATTGTTGATTTTCAGTATTATAATTCCTCTTCTGGTAATCAGAACACATGAAGAGTTACTCACTTAGTTCTCAAGAATCAACTAGTCTGACCTTGCTCGTTTATATTTAATAATTTAGTGAACTAAAAAGGTACCTAGATACTTGTAGAAGGTTCTAAAATAAAACATACCAGAGTTGGAAAAAATTTTAAACACTTAAATAAGCTGGTAATGGTAGTGCGTGCCTGCAATCCCAGCAATGGAAGAGGCTGAGGCAGGAGGATCCCAATGTTGAGTCCTGCTGAATCAACTTGACAAGACCTTATCTCAAAATGAAAAGGGAAGGGGGT